GTTGTGTGCCAATAAAACGGTGTGAAATATCTATTATATAATGGCGTTATATTATCGTGAGAGCTCGGGCCGTGCAAAGTGTATCGGGAAAAACGAGGTCGTGAAAGAGAGAGAAAGAGAGAGGGAGAGAGGTGAGGAAGGGAGAAGAGGACGTGTAAAAATTCCTATAACGCGAAAGGCGAGAGAGAGAGAGAGAGAGAGAGAGAGAGAGAGAGAGAGAGAGAGAGAAGAGCTAAATGGGAAATGTTTATACTCCATATATACGATTGGGGATGCGAGCCGCTGGAGATGCGGAGGAAAAAATATAAATCGATCGACGAGAAGATTCGATGAATTTTCATTAGCCTCGCAAAAAATTGCGAAGATATCACAGGACTACGTAAAGGCGCAAAGTCGTAGAGTCGTACACGCGCACTGGACTTGTGTCCATCCTCCATCGGTACAGACCGGAAAGAGTGGAAAGAGGCCAGCGAGAGGGACGGGAAACCGTGGATGGATATTGATTCGCCGGAGCATCCAGAGGAGCAAAGAGAGTGATCAGTCGTGAAAGTCGATGAACCGTGCGCGCGAGCGATGCTTAACGGCGCTTTTACGGCCGGAACTTTCATAACTCTTGTCGCGTTACATTCGGAAAACGTTCGAGGAAAACGTGCTACGTCGACGCAAAGTTGAACACGGGCTATTCGGGACGAGCAGGAGGAGGTAAGGGGAAGGGGAAGAGGAACGGAAAAAAGTTTCGGACCTTTCGTCGGCCGGAGCGGCCGTGGACTCTATCGTATTTTCGTCATGGTGGTACCTCTTTTTCGGAGCAACGTTTCGTCTCGTCTCGTGATACACAAGCGCGCCCGCGATAACGAGAAGAGAAATATTTATAATTCGGAAGAAGCATCCAGACTTTCCCTTACGGACTTATAGATCACGACGTCGAACGAGACTCGATTCATTCCTCTCGATGCAACGTCGAATTTATGATGTCCGCCACGAGATGCACAATCCGCGACGCTCCGTAATACAGATATTTCGCGAGTATCCTACGAAGAGCGAGATAGATAGATGAATAGATAGAGAGCTTCGTGTATCAATCGAGGCGTTCCACTTCCATCACCATTCTTTTGCATATCCCTCTCGATGCTCCCGCGAAGAAAAGATTACCCCTGTATACCATCGCGCGGGATCGGCCGGGAATCGATAATAATAAGCACGATGTACCGTCCCGAGCATCGACAGCTTCACCGATGCGTGTCGATAAATCGTCACGTCCAGGGCGCCGCGAAGCGCGTGGAAAAAGCGGAGTGGATTCCAAGCACGGGAATTTCTCAAGAAAATTGCAGCGAATGCCTGACAATGGCGGCAGCGGTGGCGAATAGAGAGAGAGAGAGAGAAAGAGAGAGAGAGAGAGAGAGAGAGGGACAGAGAGAAAAGGACGAGAGAAACGATATTCGGGGGAAAAGGTCAGCGATTTACGGGCATCCATCGACGTCGAGGGTTATAGCGCGCGATGGCGAGGGATTCTGCACGGTATTCTGGCCGACCGAGGGGTTGTTCCTGTACGTACCGCGACTATGCGGCATCCTGGTCCCTGGTGACCCCTTCCCGCCGCCCCCCTTGCCCTTACTGTCCTTTGCTTCCTTCGGTTCCCATTCTTCTTCCTCGTCCTGGCCCTATTTTGACAACGGCGGTGAAATTCACCGCGGTCGTTCGCCAGGAAGTATCAGAAAGCTCTCTCACTCTCTTTCCTACTTGTAACCTCCCTCTCCCCCATCCGCGTCTCACTCTTTCTCACTCCACTCATGTTTCTCGTCCTTAATCTCGTTCCTGCGAAATGCGTCTCCATTTTCGCGGGATGAATGGAGATTCTTGGACGAGGAGGTAACGCGGAAGGGACACAAGGGGAGGCGATAAAACAATTCCCGACGGTCCGCGGATACGATTTATCGAACTGTTATAGCGCGAGGGAAATCTGACGGCGATAAAATGATTGCCGAGGACAGTTTCTACGGGCCGGGCGAAGGATGTAACGGCGGTCGTACCCGACAACCGGACAAATCGGCGAGTGCCGATTATCAATTTGGCGCGCCACGCGGTAGTCCTCCGGCTCTCCGAGTTCTCATCGAAACGGGGGGGGGGAGGGGGGGCTCTTAAATTCAATGTTGAGTAAAAGAATAGTATTTTTTACGATCTTACAAACTTTCGTGTTGACGAAAGAAACGCTTGACTGCCCAACTTGGGTGTAAAAATGGAATTTGTACAGTCAAATGAATATATCGAAAATTGTTTTGCCTCAAAAAGTCACGCAAATCAAAATAAATTTCTAAACATTATTCAATATTTTAGAAATATTATTATATTAAACATTTGTTTATCGATAGCAAATTCAATAGCGGTACGGGCTTGCACTAGCTTATTTGATTTTTTCGATTGAACATCAAAGATCCTTAAACATATGCTATTTCATTTATTATTATTAAATTATTATTAAAATATACTGCCATCTGTCTCATTTTACACGGATTAAATATAACACCGGAGTGACAAATTGGCAGCGGACGTGTTAATAGATAGAGTCATGTACTCCCGAAGGTTGACCTGGAGTGAGAAAGAATTTATGATAATGCGTCTCTTCGGCCACGCATTGCGCGTCTACCGAAAGACGATGCACGCGCGAACATGAGCACGCACACAGGCAAAATCTTCTTGCTCGCGAGCTTCAAAGCCTTGAGCGAGTGTTAATCCACGAGGGGGCCATTGCTTATAATTATACCGTACCGAGAGGCATTATCCCGTGCAACACTCGCTCTCTCTCTCTCTACCCTTTCTGGGAGGAGTCATTGGGCCCTAACGAAGGATAATGTCAGGTGCTGGGTAACCGGCTTCTCCGAGCATTAACAATTACCCCCTCCCCCGGTCTGTGAACGAACCCATCGTCTACCTGCACGCCGTATTAACCCCCTCGCAACAGCCATTTTCACGGTTTAAACTCCAGGTGCGGGAAGCTATTTATATCCTTGACCGTTTGCACAACTAATTATAACGCAGCTCCGAAGAGTCATCGATACAATGTTACGTACATTATGCGTGTTATGTTGTAATACACGCTCGCGCACACCAATGTAACACGCGGATGTCAATCGCGAGCTCAGTACGAGACCGCGAACACGCAAATATCGCGATTAATTTAACGGCCGTAATCAATAAATTGAGAATTAAATGTGGTAATCGCGCAAAATTACTCTGATCGTCCAATTACGAATAAATTATCGTACCGATTCAAAGTAGCTTCAAAAGAGTTGCCCGAGTGCTCCGCAGATTTCCGGCAGACGCGCGTTAAAATATCTCGCGTTTAATTGGCGCGTTTAACACGCGACTGCATCGACCGCGTGCGAGGAGCGTTGAACGTGTACAGATCGAAAAAGTCGCGAGCCGCGGCGTAAACTCCGCCGGGTCGATCATGCCGATGGCCTACTTTAATAATCGCCACCACGTCGCGCGCGCGCGAGACACGCAAAGCCGTAATTCAACATCCCACCAGACCTCGCACAATCAGGAACAAAATCATGTCTGAGCGATCATTCATATCGGACTTTCCGAGGACTCACCCGTTATATAAATTCTGTTACATAAATTCGCCCGGAAAAAATCCCGACGCGATCGATGCGCGACGGAGAAACAAGTACACCTCTCTCCGCAATGCCGTAAATGCAGCCTCGGCAAAACGGTCGACGAGGAACGAGTTCTTCCTCTCTCTCTCTCTCTCTCTCTCTTTTTTATCAACTCGTTAGCGCTCGAAGCGCACTCTAATGAAACGCGACGCACCGAGCGTGACAACACGAGAGAGCGTGCTCTACGCAACTATGTATCGCCGTTCCACAAATATTTCTCGAGAACGACCAATCTCGCTGAAGAAACCAGGGAGGATAGAGGCGGCTCGTCCGAACATTTTGGCAACGCCCGTCGTTACGCTTGGCAATTAATCAAACTCGAGGCCAAACAGACCTCGATGAGCCGAGAGAGTATACGACGGACGAGTGCTCGTGATCGAACTACCAGATTGCCAAAAACTCCGCGGACCTATCCTTTTCCCACTTGCATGTTAAAAAAAGACGAAGAGCGCGAAAACAAGCGAGAGAGCGAGAGAAACAGCTTGAATTATCCGTGATGCAGACAGCAGCGTCCGATGGATTCGCGCGCGAGGAGTGGAGGAAAATCAAACGAGAGGCATTCCAGCTCGAGCGCGACGACGTTTCCTTCGAAGTCGCTTCGTGCCAGCTGCTTGCGTCCGCGATCGGATTATAACAACGTCCGCGATATGGATTCGCGCGGAGTTCTGCGGCAAAATCCCGTTATCACCGAATGATCGACCTGTCACTTCAGCCCGCGCGCGGTCCTTTCAAACGCGCGACGGCACTCGTCCTCCGAGAGAGGACCTGTCAAGGAGCATCTCGACCCGCACACACATCCGCCGATCGATAGGCGATTGCGTATGCACGCATGCACGTACGCACGTCTCGTACATCACGTTCTGACAGATATAGCTTCGCTCGCTAATTTCAGTTATTGCAGTGAGCGTACGCGCGAACCATGGAGCTCGTCGGACCGATCTGGGCCGATGCGAGCGGGAAAAGATAAAAAGTGGACATAAATGCGTAAATAAATGAAAAGAGGATAAACACGGCGAAATCCGCTGACGGGCGTGAAATAATTTCATGCGCTGAATCACATCCGATACGTGACTCGAAGAGCGGCTTTTCATCATCGTTCGCGAGAAATTAAATTTCTCGATTCCGCAGAGGAGAATAAACATACGCCTATGTAATAATACATCGGAAATGCATCGCGATGCAGCCTCAACTCTCTCGCGATGCTCTTTGTCCGTGGCTTTTTCCAACACACAAGCTGGGGTCATCACGAGGCCGAGAGCTTGTAGTTTTATGAAACGAAACTCCGAGGGACTCGCGAGCGCAGCCGCTTTCTATGAGAGAGGAATATGTCTGGAGACTTACCCGACGAGGAAGACGGCCGGCCCGAGAGTCAAAGATTCCTGGAAACAAAGAAAACGAAATTAGAGAAGTTTCCGCGGGTATACAATGCTAGACACAATATTACGGTATTCTCGCTCGCAGGCGGCTCTTAATTCTTAAATGCGCAAGTTTCTTTAACAGTGATTTAAATCGCTGCAAAGTTACGGCAAGTTTTATAACACGAGAGACGGCACGAGAGACGGCACGAGAGAGAGAGAGAGAGAGAGAGAGAGAGATTTTGTGTCGGTTAAAAGATAAATTATCCCTCGGACCTTCTCGGGAATATGATTACGTTTTTAAGAAAATGTAATTATAATGAGGTATTAGGATGACATTACCGGTTAAAGCTTAATTACTTGTCAAAGCGGAGGAATCAAGCGGGACAAAGGTGTGCTCTTCCGTCTGTTAGATAGAAATTTTACGCGAGTGTCGTTTACAAAAGAGTGCACCTATTCGAGCGATCCCGAGCTTCGAAGAGCTCGAGAATTATCGGATGGCTTTCATCGCGTGCCGACGAAGATCCATGATGAATCGGCGAGGATGAATTTGCGCGCGAGAACGCGCACACCAGCAAGGCACATTTCGGGCACACCCTCTGCGATGATATACCTGAGTGTCTCTCTCACGAATGAAATTCGCCGTTGAAATTATGCCGCCTGAATTAGTCGCCGCGTATCCCGAACGCTTCCCTTTGACAACACCCGCATTAATTAAGTTCGCGCGGTGTTGCAGCTGATGTGTCACGACGCAGTCAGCGTGCGACAGAAAGATTGCGCGCCCTGCTTCGGGCTCGAGGGGATGTTCTCGCCTAACTACGGAAATGTTTCGCCGACTTCATGCCCCGCGAACTTCCCCCCCTCTCTCTCTCTCTCTCTCTCTCTTGCTCGCTCGCTCGTTTTCCTTCGCGAACTTTCCACAGCTTTGATGTACAGCTATTCGTATTGTACCCCGTAGACTGAGCGTCATGATAAATTCCCTAACGAACGTGGTCAACTAGGAGCGCAAATTCATCCCACTGAGGATTGCAGCGACTGACAGCTCGCGGGAATATTATTCATCGCGTCGGGCATCTCGCCGAGACGGCATATTTAATCGTACTTACAAGAATAACGCCGGCTTTCGCACACACTGTCCGAAAATTCGCAGTTTCTCATTATCAAAAACGCGCAATTCGCACTTACTCGCTACGTTCGCGGACGACGGTAAAATCTCCGAATCGACGATGTTCGGGGAACTTTGAGAGAGAACAGTCCGCCTGCGCGCGTGCGCGTGCCTTTCTCGAGCAGTCCTAAAACGGCCATCGAAAGTCTGAGCGCTTTTCATGGGCGAAACTTTCCGACGGAATCCCTCTTTTAGTAGCTCGCCGAAAAAATCTCGTTTGGACTAAGCTCGCCGTGCCCCTCATCCTCCCACTCGCCCCTCTCCTTCGTTCTTAAGAAGAAAAACTTGCGGCTATTCGGTAAATACGTCCCGGACGGTACTACTTTTAAGCACGCGAGTTTGCCTCGGAGAACAGCGCATTGCAGAATTTACACCCAATTAAACTGAACACCACTCGATTAGACCATGAAAGAATAGTAAATTGTAAATTTAAAACACGCCACAAATAATTATACCCAATGGAGTGAGCGCGAAAATATCAGGTTGCACGATGAGTTTTCGTAGTCTTCTACAAAAAATTCAAAGCCGATACTTTTCTCAATCAGCTAGGTAATTTAATTCTCAATAACGTACCGACGGTCATTCTTACGATGGTGGATCCTCGAAGAAAACGAAAGAATTAAAGTTACGTCCGATTACAAAAGTATCAGTATTGAATTCTCCGAACGACCCAATAAGTTACTAATTGTTAATAATAAATTTAAAAAGAGAGAGTGCCGCAGAATTCCAAGTCACGGCGAAGCTCGCGAGATTCACGAGGAGACCTCTTATCTTATCTTATATATCTTATCTTATCTTATATATTATATAGCGAAGGATAATGCGAACGGCCATTCTCGCTGGCAATCCACGAGACCTGCACACATCAGGAGAAGAAAATCGATATATCGGCAAGGCGGACGATGCCAACGGCGCTGCGGTCCCGGTCATCAGTGCATTCGCACGATAAAGCCGCGGCGAGTTGCAGTAAAAGCGAGCGCATTAGCGGAGCCGGCAAAAAGCGAGCTCGTCAACACGCGCGCGGTTACTATACGCCCCGCGCGTTGTAACATAAATACCCGAGCGGCCACGTGGTCGTTGGGTGGTCCCGTTCCTTCTTCGCGAGAATGTGTCGCGCTCTCTCCCAATGCCACCTTCCCGTTCGTACACGCGCGATCTCTCTCTCTCTCTCTCTCTCTCTCTCTCTCTCTCTCTCTCTCTCTCTCTCTTTCTCGCTCCTTCCGCGGCGATAACGATTAGAAATTAACGAACGTGGCGCCGTAAAGCCCGCAAATAGACCGTCTGTGCGATTCCTATTCTCGGACCGCGTCGTTAGGACGCGATTGCCAACCTGCGAGTCGAGTGCGAGTATTGCGAAATTATTCGAGGGTTGTCCTCCTTTTTTGCTTTCATTGTTCAAGAGTCGGCGACGCCACGCTTCGAGATGCGAATCTTACGATCATGTCGGATACGCTCGGATGCTTTTCATGAGGTGAGATTTTCTCCCACGAGAGAGAGAGAGAGAGAGAGAGAGAGAGAGAGAGAGACTCAGCGTAGTGTAACACAGGCGGCAAGAAAAAGCTGCGTTGTCGGAATTCTACACTCGCACACTCGCTGATTCCATTGATATCAACGGAGTTTCGAATTTGATGCGGCCCCGTAGACTCCATCGCATTTCCCATCTCAAATCTCATATTCCGCAAACGCCGGCAATATTCCACCTGAGCGCCGAGGGCGCGCACACGCAGCAATGCGCGCGTGTCTTTGACCTCCTCCTCCTCCTCCTTTTTTTTTCGTCGAAAAAGAGCCGCGAAAATTTCACCAATAGTCGGCAAGTTGCATCCTCTCGCCCGCTCGCTCTTTCCGGATTATTAAATTTCCACTGCAGCCGCCGCCGACGCGGATTCTAACGCTAAATAAATCTCGAACGTTAAATATATCGCGCGATCCGTCCGCATTCCATTCATAGTAACCGGCTTCGGAGTTTTATAAGGTTCCCCGCTTGCGCGCTCTTCGCGAGAAAACTCCATCACCTACATCTTCCCAGCGCGCGTGTCGACAACATTTCCCGTCGACGAATCTCATATTTCCCGGCCGCCGATGTAGCGATATTCCGTCTACACACACGTATACACGCGCGCATAGAACGACGTGCGCCGACTTCCGCCCGCAGATACGGAAGCAACCTCGCGGATAGTTGCATCCTCCCGGGATGGCTATCGAGTTCCCTCGCTGTGGAAAAATCTTCCGCGGACTTTAATGCGCGTCTCTCTCTCTCTCTCTCTCTCTCCTCCCCGGCGAATACTTCTCGCACTTCGATAATCGCGTAAAAGTCCAGCTCGCGCGCCGTCTCGCCTCACGCCCAGGCGGAACAGGACGCGATCGAACGAACGGAAAAAAGGGGGGGGATCCTTTTTTCTTTCGCTGTAACATGCAGCACGGGAGTCCGTGCCAAGTGAGAGAGAGCCGAGAGAACTTCTCGCATTACCGACACGCGGCGTCGCCATCGACGTAGAGGAGAGATCTCATCCCGTCGTGATTTGCTTTTCCGAGCGGCTGGGATGCGTTCCGGAATAGGAAAAGAAGGAAAAGCGGCGGAGACAGGAGGGAGGGAGAAAGAGTGGGTAGGGAAAAAAAAACAGGGAAATAGGAGAGGCCGGGCCGTCTGAATTTAAGCGACATTTGTCTATTTAACTTCGTTCGACCGGCGGATTACCGGGCTCGGGGGCGCGAAGCTGCGGGAGCTCCCAAGGGCAACCCGGATATGCAGTTTCTGCCGGAGTCGTCTCTCTTTGCTCTCCGGCGCGTGGAGTCATTATCTATAGCCTATAAATAATTGTCCAAGGCACGTCAACAGCCAGGCGATAAGAGGCGCGCATTATCTCACGCATCCCGGGAACACCGGTCGATTATGGATCATATCGAAATTCCAACCGAAATTCGACCGTGGCCGGTAGGCGAGATAAAACGATGCCACCGGAGCGATCCCCGCACAATTAAGGTAAACGCACCGAATTACGCTACCTTAGCTTGTTCTATGCGCGTAATAAAACACAAGTGAGTAAAAGTGTCCAAAAATTGCCGGAAAGCACTTGTGATAGTGTGTCAAATGGCTTCGTTAAAGTAAATATACGAAAATATAATGTGATTTTCCGTGAAAAGTAATTTAAAGAGCCTGTATCAAAAATCACTTTTGACTATTTTCGACTTTGCTTCTAAATGATTACTAACCTATGAAATGACACTGCACCTCCTTTATAATGTGACAAAAAATGATATATTTTTGGGTAGTAATATAAAATGATTTAGTCTCGTATAATTAAAATATAATAAAAGATGATAAAAAAGTATAATATTATAAAGTTATATGATTTTTATATAATATAATATAGAGTGGTATATATATTTGGTGTATAATCAGTGGCGTGGTAAATTGGGACATCCTACAATTTCAGTGGGTGTAATTCGAGACATTTGCAATTCACACTTAATTCTTTTATATAAATAAATAAAAGTTGTCCGTTTATTTCTAATTTGTACATGTATTTTCGCTAATTTACAATAATAACTTTTAATAAAATTCATAGTCTTACCTCGCTCTCTCCAACACCGCTTTACTTTCTTATAAGTAAACTCTCAAAAATTAGTCTTTGCTTAAAGTGGCGTTCGTACGTCCGGTACGTTTACCTTACTGCACGTGTATGCAGCAAGAGCCGACCTGTCGAGGAGGATAACACGGATCTCTTCTCGCGGACGGGCGACGAAGATAGCGCTCGGATAGCGGAGCTTCCGGACTCCGTCTCTCCTGATAACGCGCTCAAGTGATAAATATTAAACACGTTATCGGATAGCCTCGGGGTGTCTGGGAAGTCACGCACTT